ATGACGCCTGAGGCCCTGGACTAGGCCAAGTGTGAGGGCCCCACAGGGGCTGCTCAGTGGTGTGAGCTGGTGATTCACATTCGGGTCAGGCAAGTTCATGTGGCAGTTGCATTTCTGCTTATTAGGGTTCACTCAGGGAAGCAAACCCTTTAGAGTACTAAGAAATGAGGAAGTTACTGTAGGAATTCAACATTATGCAACTGTCAGGGGAATGAGGAAAGAGGAAACCCAGGAGCAGCTGGAGAATGGGGACTAGGCAGGGGAGGGTCTTACCTGTCTGACCTAAGCAGCCGCCTGGCATGGGAAGCAGGGACTTGGGGGGAGACAGGAGGCCCAGACGTGTCCAGCTCCAGATGCAGGCTCGCTATGGGCTGTGAAGGGGGGTGCAGAAGTAACACTCTCGTTCCGTGAGCTGGCAGAGGGGAGCTCACTGCCATACACTGCACCCCGCCCATCTCCCACCAGGATGGCCCTGCTATGGGGTGGCTGCTCCTCCCTCACCTTCCCAATCTCACACAAGTTTCAGAGGCTCAAGTTTTGCCTGGAGCCAGATGGGACAGGGAGCTCTGGAAATGCAGTTTAGCCCAGTGACATCCCCCAGACCACCCGCCTCTACTTGCCACATGAAGAATCCTGACTTTTCAGTATCCCTGAAGTTGCCAGGGCCTACAACCAACCCACATCCTGAGCACCTCTCGAGCAGCCACCCAGAAGCGCAGGGCTCCAGAAGCACCTATGGGTGAGAGCACTGTGAGGCCAGTGCTCTGGCTGCCCACTAGTCGGTCCAGGGCTGCTTGCTGCTCTAAAGGGATTCCTCTGAGCAGAAAGCCCCCCCTGCTCTGGTCAGACCTTTGAGGGCTCTTTCCTCAGCCCCATCATCCATGGGACCCCTCCCCCCAGGTATAGCCCTCCAGCAAGCAGCCACACCCCAAAGGGTCCCATCAAAGGGCCAGGGCCAGACATCACCCAGCATGGCTCATCTCCCCCTGGACCGGCCCTTCAACTTGGCCACAAGGTCTAGGCAGAGGCAGGAGTTGCTGCTAAGGCCAACTGGGCCAAACCCAGGATGGACAGGCCAGGAACCCCAACACCTTCTCCCCAGCATCTCTCACAACCCATGATGTCCCACTGCAGGCCCACTTGGTCCCCCCATAACAAACAGGGGCTTGCCAAAGCTCAGAGATGCTCTCCTCCTTCCACCCAAGGCAACTTGCCCACCCTCATACAGTCTCTGTGGGGACTTCTGCACTCTCTTTTGGCAGGCCAGCCACAGCCTGCTCTTCCAGGTTCCTGGCAGCTTCTGCCCCCAACTGGGATGGCCAGAGGCTCTCTGTAAGCTCTTGCAGCCTGAGCCTGCTGGAAGCTTCCTACGACTCTTTGTGGGGCTGCGCCCCAGTGTCTCCATTTCTCTCAGCTCAAGCCTTGTTAGTGCTGATAGTTCCCTGCCTACCTGGTGGCAAAGAACTCAGAATGTGCTACCCTGAGGCTCTCTGTCCTCCCAGGTCAATGCTGAGCACAGCACCTTCCTGCCCCACAGCCTGGGCCTTTCTAGTCGCGAAATGTTTCCTCCATGTGACTGACCCACAATGCCTTCTCCAAATCCCTGGCCTTCAGTGGCCACAGGCTTCCAGCCTGAGAGCCATCGTTTTCTGCCTCTAAACCTGGAACGTTAATTGATACCCTGGCAACTGCAACTAGAGCCACTATCTATTTGAGGGCTCTGACACCACAGGGCCCCATCAAAGTTCCAGGGCCAGATACTACCCAGCATGGCTCATCTCCCCTACTGCTGTGCACAGACCTTTCCTCTCCCAAAGCAACTTGAAAGGTCTGTTGCCCAGGGAGGCTCACACATCACTTCTTTGGTGATGCCTCACTCAGAGGTCAGTGGGAGGCTCAGGGCAAGAATCTGACAAATCTGGCGGCGCCTGTGGTTCAAGGAGTAGGG